ATGTCAATACTAATAAAATAATCCGAGCAATTCCACTCCATTGTTATCCTGGCAGTCATGATAGTGATATATCTTTGCATTAAAATTAATTTATAGTTTCCTAATAAAAAGCATGTATACAGCTTTTTGTTATAAATGGAGAAAAGTTGCCACTTTTATCAAAACCATGGAAATGTCGTGTTCAACCCGTTCAAAACGGTAGTCACAAGGTTTCTAATATATCCTAAAGGTTTGTGCATTCGGGTAGCTCAGCAGTCATTGGCTGCCTGTTTGTGACGTAGCCTCGTAGACCCGTCGTACTCTTGTTTATGTCGTGTTTACGATATATACCAGCATCCTATTGATATTTTGGAATGTAGAATGCTTTATGAAACATTATTTTTTAATTATGTTATATGCTATTAAAACAAAACAACATTTTATTGTGTTTATACTTTCAAGTGCGAAAAATATATGAAATAATCATTGTTCACGCAGCTGAATTAAACTAAACTGGCAAGTCATTAAATATACTATTTTTTACGAATGTATTTCAGCTACTGTGTAAAACAGTGTGTTTAAGTATGTTTATAATTTGAGCTATGTTTCAGTTTTCGCCGCATCACATAAACTGTAACAAATTAGTAATGAAATTTATAATGTTGCATATTTTAGTTTTGTAATTATTTGAGAGTATTTTTTTTTCTTTTATTTTTCAGAAAATTTCACCTTCCATCATAATTTCGGGTGAAATTTGTCGAATCCGGAGATGTTTGATTAGAATATTTTCTTTGTATACACTAAGTTATAATTTTCTGTAAAATATGATTATATAAAAGCAACAGGAATACCTTTGTTTTTAGTAAATTAAGGTACTTGAGAAAATTTTTGCTTCTTTTCAAATGTAGATTAGTTTATACTTGCCTTCAGTTCAAAACATATTCTTGTTTGTCTGATTAACTACACATAAATCAAGTATAATTTTCTTAAAAATTCCATTTCTCCAAGTGTCTTAAGGGAAATAAATACAATGTGAATGTGAATATAAATTGTAAATTTAAATTCAGTATGTTTATTTCTTTTATAAAAATCAGAATTTTTATCCATAATTTGAAAGGCAAATCCTTACCTTCACAAGCAAAAGCATTTTTGATGGTTGATCAACCATTACCCTAAGATGGCCATTTCTAAAATTGATAAGTATTTCTGAGAATATAAGTATTGATACAGAGCATCACTTCTTTAAAATGACCATCTTCATATAAGAATCAATTAATCTGTAATTACAGGCTGTCACCTTAGAAGTTATTCACTATGAATATGCTTGACTGAAACACTATTCGATAAACTTCATGATTTATTTTGTAATGTGTGAGAAATATTTTAAGTGATGTTGAAATTGTGCATACTTAGACTAATAAGACTAATTTTACTAAACAGAATTTTTTTTTAATGACATGTTAGTGGAGTTTCCATTATTAAAGATAAGTAAAACATATGGGATAAAATATATGTCAATAATAATCAAAAGAATTAAGTTTCAAGGTACATGTTTTTAAGTACTTAAGCCAAATCAAAATCTGTTTTGAAATAATTTTACTTTTCCCAATATAGCACACTATTTACATTTCCATTGATCAATTCTTAATGCAATATATAACACTTTACATATTTATAGACAATTCTGTTATACTTAATACACACAGATGATATAAAGTGTGGTTACTATAAAATTAAGTACAGAATTTAAGTATGCGAAATAAGTTTGCATTTATCACCACTAAAATAAGCTACACATTTAGAAGCAGATAGTAAATCTGTAAGCTAAGAATTATAAAAAAGTATTTTACTGATATTACACCGTGTAAATACAGCAGAACAGCGTCGGCAGGAAGGAATTTGGGTCTACGAGTGACGTGTTAGTGACGTCATAGAGCATGCGCAGTAGCTATAGCTTTAAAAACGCGCCAACCTTATCCTCCTCGGTTCCCTTGTATCACATGTGATACAAAAGTTTCATAATTTTTTGTGAAGGCTGAGCTGCAAAAACAAATTTGGGACCGGTTGTATCACATAAGATACAAAGTGAAATACCTCATATATTTTCCTCGTTTAGTCAACAGATGGCAGTACTTGTCCATGATAGCGATTTCTAGTAGCATCTCTGAATCAAAACAAAATGTCTGCACGTCGTCGAAGTAAGTATTTTTTTCTTATTTATATACAAATATTAAACTATTTTTAAAATACGCTTTCTCTTTGTATATGTACTTTTTACTAGTTAACAGCAAAAAAAAAAGAAATTTTTACTGAAATATTAAAGCAAAATGACTTGTGAAATTTGTTTGTATCACTTGTGATACAATGGGACCCAATCACTTATGAACACACTTTTTAAGTCAATTTTGTTTTAATTTTTAGTTATATTTTGGGGGGATTTGAAGATTGATAGAAGAAATTTCTTGAATTCAAATCTTTAGTTGAGGTGTTTGTATTCCATTTTTACCCATTTTTTCCTGATAATTTTTTATTTAATAAGTATTTTTTTTCAGTGAAATATTTGACACCAGATGAAATTTTAGAGCTAATGAATCGCGATGATTCTGATTTGAGTTCACTGTCAGATGAAGATGATTATCAAAGCGATAATGGATGTGAGATGGATGATGTTGATGAAGATCGGGATGTAACTTTTGACTTTTCTGCTCCAACTCAATGGGGAATACATACAGATAAGTTCAATCCAGTTTCATTTGATTTTCAGGAGGTAGGATGCTTTGAATATCAAAGTACTGCACCCATTGAATATTTTATGGAATATTTAGATGAATTCTTTTTTGAAGATTTGACAAATTTCAGTAATATTCGATCCGTAACACGTACTGGCAAGAGTATTAATGCATCAAAGGAGGAAATGATGACATTCATAGGTTGCAGTCTTCTTTTGTCCTGCTATGGGTATCCCAGGATAAAAATGATATGGGAAAGGCCCACACGGATACCCATTATAGCTCACAATATTTCTAGGGATAGGTTTTTTTCAAATTCGCAACAATTTGAAAGTTTTAAATGATAATGATGTCGCAAAGGAAATAAAGGAAAAAGATAAATTTTGGAAAGTCAGGCCAATGCTAAATAAAATACGAGAACGTTGCTTGAAGAAAAAAAGGCCAAAAATTTTTTCAATTGATGAACAGATTATCCCTTTTCATGGACAGGTTTCTATGCGACAGTATGTCAGAGGAAAGCCAAACCCAGTAGGAATAAAAGTTTTTGTAATGTGCTCTTCGTACGGTTTGCCTTTAGATTTCATCTTTTATGAAGGAAAGGGAACTGATGTTACATCTCCAGAGGATACAAGTTTTCTTGACTTGGGAGGAAAAGTCGTTCTGAAGCTTTCGGACTCGTTATTTCCCGCTTCTTCGATACATGTGGACCGGTATTTCACTTCAGAATTGCTTCTTGACTTTCCCCTGAATAGAGAATTGCATTTAACTGGCACTCTTCTGAAAAATAAAGTTCCGAAATTGACACAACTAAAGTCAGATTCAGAAATGAGACGAGAAGGCCGAGGGTCAATAGATCAAGTTGTGAGAGTGGATCAAAAAATTTCCCTTGTGAAATGGTTCAACAATAAAAGTGTTTTTCTGATGTCCAGTGAGCATGGGAAAACTCCCATCACAAAATGCAAAGAAAGATGGTCGAAAAAGGACAAGTCATACCTAGAAGGTTGATTGCCCTCACATTGTAAAAAATTATAACGATTACATGGGGGCATCGATCATCTGGACCGTACCATTAGTTTCTACAGAATGAAGCACCGAACCAAGAAAATGGACAGTACGAGTCATTCTGCATATGATCGACTTTACCATGTCGAGTGCATGGCTCGCGTACAGAAATACTATGACAGAATTAGGGGAACCTAAGAAGAACATTCTGGACTATTTTGCGTTTAGACTCAGTATTGCAAATACACTCATCCACGGCTTACTGAAGAAGCCATCTCCCACTCCTTCGCTAGCCGAAGATGAAAATGATGAACCCCCTCCAAAACGCAGACTCCAAAACGCAACTTGCATTCCACATCAAGCAGCTCGTAACAATGAAGCTAGGCACATGCCTGAAATGGTTGGGGATAGAACTCATCGAAAGTAGGGTGCAGGAATGAGAACTGCTCGGCCTTAACAAATGTACAATGTACAGACTGCAAGGTTTTTCTATGCTTTATACAACTAGTAGAAATTGTTTCAAGGCATTTCACGAATATAAATAATAATGTTATTGTAATAATGTACCTACAAATGTACGCCAATAACTTAATCTTAAATTTTCGTGTTGAATTTATGAATTGTATGTATTGTGTAATTAAAGACTAAGATTAAATTAATTAGTTCGATCTTTGCTTAATACTTATAAAAATTCTGATTGTAGTGCCTTGTTTTTGATGTATCACGTGTGATACATACCCCCTAGCTTTCATAAACTAAAAAAAAAAAAAAAATTATTGCACTTTTCTACATCAAAGTGATCGAAACAACTATTTAAATACCTCTTACAAAATGTCAAGCTTTTATTTTTGTCTCGGCTCTGAGGAGGATTATAAGAAAGTATTCTACTGATCTTGCGGTAGTCATGATCAGAGATCAGCCTAGCCTTAAAACCCATCTTCTGTAGTATCTCTTACTACGAATTCTTACTTAAATATCGGCACATAAATCATGGATACTTAAGTATGACAGTTTCAGAATATCTTAAAAATATTTCTACAATTTATTTTTATGGCTGAGTTTTACTTTTTTCTGCCGTTAAAACGTGGTATACAAGATTTTACCGGAAAATAAAATTAATACTTCCGGTCTCAAAGTTCAAGTATATCGATGCCATTTGCTAACTCAGCCAATCATATGTAGAGGCATGGGTAAATCATAGTTATCGCATATTTTGAAATCTGGCTCTAAGATTTCTGTATTTATCTAGTCATTTGTTATCATTTCTAAAGACTTTTTTTGAGAAATGAACTCCCTTTTTTGTGAATGTTAGAGAATTTTTTAGGCGAGTTCTTTTATTGGTATATATAATATACTTTTTCTCATAATGTAATTTTGGTCGTGTTATAAAAATATTTTAGCCGAACTATTCAAATAATTAGGTAATTCATGTTATTTTGTTCAACAGCAAAGTTAGATATGTGTAAATTTGTTGCAAAGAAAATAAAGTGAGATTTCAGATTTACTTTCCTAATTCCGTATTTTAAAATTACTATAAGCAACTCTTTATCATGAAAAAATTACACGGTGGCGTAATTTTTTTTTATATTTTTATTTATTGCTTCTAGGTCAATTGCTATCATGTTACTGCCGGGATAAGTATGTACGAAAGAGTGCAAGTTAAATGATTGCAAGATTAGAACCTTAGCAATTTTAACCCGTTTATTTCTGTGCTATAAATGACAAATTATTCCTTTGTTACTGCATAAAGCTTTTATTTGTTTTGCGTATTTTCAAAATCTCGTAATTTAAATATGCGTACTTTTAATTATATATTAAAAAATCTCATTTAAGTACTCTCCATTGTTAACAATTTATTCTTTTATTATGTAAATTATTATCAAGTTGTACGAAATTCAGAAAACATATTTCTTATATTTAGTGCTATTAAAACATACCTAAAAATGTACAGTATTGACAGGCTGACTGACAACCTCCTGAAATATGTCTTAAACTGGTTGTTATCTACAGTAAACAGAATAACAATTGGACTGTTGTGTTTATTTCAGTATAGTAAGTAAAATGTAAATATGTGATGCATAAGTATTTGAAATTCATTGAGGCATTTTAGAATTATATAATTTTGGAAACTGAAACAGTGATATATACGGAGATGAAGATAGTTTTGCAAATTTATCTGCTTAAAGTAATGTTATATAGCATTAAATGCATGTATGGCATTTTAAAGAAAATGTAATGAAGATTTGTTTGTCATTTTATGTGATCAAACTATTTTAATTTTTAGAGCAAAAGTTATAGTTTACTCAGATAGTTTGGCTAGAAAGAATTAACTCTCCGAACTTAGTATTTGAAGTGAGAATAATTCCTGCTTCCATGTAAGCAGAGCTCATATGTCATTTAAAGTTGACAACTAAGTTCACTGATTTTTTCCCAAAAATTTCAAAATTAGAAAAGCTTATTATTTTTTAAAGCAGAAATCTAGTTATGAGGATAAAAATTTTAACAATTCAAAAGGTGCTAAGTTGCAATTGTTTTTTTAGGAGGCAAAAATATTTCTACCTGTAGCTTACCAGAAAGTAGTTTGGCTAATCTTTGGAATATGGTAACAGGTAGTTTGGCAACATTTTGGTAAGGCAATAAAAGTTACTAGTTAGGACTTTAGCAGTGTACATGGCTATAGTCAAGAGTGTGCGCAATGCAATTTTGTGCAATTCTCGGATGTCGAAGTAATTTTATGCAGCACGCGAATACATTTCCCATAAATTAATTAGCATTATTATGACAAGAATTTGAAAGAAAGTTTGGCTTAATCCTAGTATCTGGTGCATACGGGATTTGGCTACTTTTGGCGACTTTATGATTAGCAGTAAAAACGAAACATATACGATGATAATAAATACGATGATAACATATATATAAAACATATACGATGATAAGTAAATGGGTCATTCAAAGAATGTATATAGTTATATAGTATGTACTATGTAGTGATAGTGTATAGTATATACACTATCACTACATAGGCGCACAGGCGTTCGAGTCATTTTTGGTGTTGGCGATAATTTTAAAAATCGCGCCAAGGCTGCACCGTATACTAGGATTTTACTGAAAGTTTAAGATTTTAATACTTTGAAGTCCAGTTTTACGCTATTTTCATTACCAAAAACAAATGTAACTCCTCGGAAAATATAGAAATGGAGTTTACTCTGTGATATAAATCTTATTCAAAGATTTGAAGATACAAATCTGATTAACTTTTATTAGCACTTGTCAAAAGATAAATATCTTCAGTTACAAATTTTTGCAATAAGAATACTTTCATTATTTTAAGTATATTTATACAAGAACAGTTTTTCGTAGTTGAAAATTAATAAGTCTACAAAAAGAACCAGATTATACTTTAGTTTGTGATTATACTTTTTATTAGTTTCCCTCCAAGATTGCAAACTTCATCAAAATCAAAACATCATGAAGTGTAGTTAAAAGGTATAGTAAGAAGCGAAGATGTTTTGGTACTATTAAGGCTTCGAGGGCCGTAAAAAAATCGCCAAACTATTGTTGATGCCAATACTGCAAAAAATAATTGCTGCAAGAAAGGAAGTATAATAGTAAATACAGTCAAAAGTCGTTAATTCGGACACCCATAATCCGGACCTCAAAGCTGCAAACTTTCTGCGCATTCGTCGCGTTCACGCATGCGCACAGGCGTTTACGAGTGCGCGTAAGACCTTTACAGCTGCGAATATGTTTTTGCGCATGCGCGTTTAATGTGTAACGGACAGTATAATATAAGCAAAAATTATTTAATTCAGTTAATGTTGCAGATTGCGTTGTTCCTTAATCTTCGAATTGGATCCGGCTTATTATTTTTTGCGGACTGTTAGAGCAATTTCATAAAAGTAAGCTTGAACTTTCGATTATGTCAAATAGAATTTCCGATATATATTTACTAATATGTAATTTGTATCTACAAAGCGAAAGTATGTTTTGAAATCCAAAATCTGTTTATCAATTTCACGCCGCGGATTGGAAGTTGATCTGTCAGCACTATCCTTATCTTCAGAGCAGATGTTTTTATTTTATTTGGCTTATAATTCCTTACTGAGTGTAGTATTTCATCTCGATGTACTCCATCTTTGATATGATTTAAATCAAGTTCCTCGTCATTATAATTCGTCTCCGATAGTGAAGAAAGTGACTCAAAGGTTATTGAAAACGAAAAAATTTCGATTTACAAATTAGTCGGTACTCTCGACACAGCAATTATAGGACTTAAACAGCGGAACTTTGTAACTAAACAAGAAATTATGTCTGTTTAATAGAATTAAAGAGAAAGTATTATCACATGAAACGGAGCAAATTAAACAACTGACATTGAAAGAAATGTTTAATAAAGTAAACAAATAAATATTTAGCTTTTTCTTTTTGTAAATTTTGATACCCTTTAGATCATAATTGCTCTTTATTTCATAAATTACGGTTTCATATTTTTAATTTTGTAATTTCTGCATGCCATCTTACCAGATTTAAATTGATGATCTATAATCCGGAAAAATCGATAATTCGGAATCGCCGAAGTCCCGACGAGTCCGGATTAACGACTTTTGACTGTAACTATCTAAGATTGATGTTTTAATTTAGATGAAAGGTTAATTTCATATAATACTTTTTTATTATTATAATTTATATGAAAAAGGCTAAACTTGACTGAATGGAAGCATAAGAGTAAATAACTATTTCATATCATTTTTTATAATTTATATAAAAATTGCTAAACGTAACTGAATGGATGCTTGCATCACTATTTCGCTATTGACTTATCGTTAAAGCATAATTTCATCTCATTGGTTGTTCAAATGTAATTTTCTATAATGAATGAGGCCTTTTCTTTGAAAATATTCTCGGTAAAGGGCAGAATCGCTCAGTTATTTGTTTGCCGCTTTTTACAAGGGTAAAAACAATTGGATTTTTGTCAATTTTCTTTTACTTTCAAGTGAAAATAGGTCAATGTGTACATAGATAAAGTCAAGGGTGTGCGCAGTGCCACTTTTGTGCAATTCTAGGATTTTTTTTTAAGTGAAAATAGGTCTATGTGCACATGGATACCGAGTATGTGCAATTCTTAAAAACACGTCAAGCAGTGGGTGATTCTGCACTTAACCCAAAATTCTATTGCCGACTTTTCGTCATGGGCAATTCCCAAATTGTTAAATCCATAGGATATCAAAAAAGGATTTAAAAATTAAGGTTGATCTTTACAATATGGTAACTGGTAGTTTGGCGACATTTTGGAGGCGATAAAGGTTACTACCTGGCACTTTGGTAATAATGTGAGCAGTACTCAGTTCTGATTACGCATTATTTTGTGTGAGGGAAATGAGAGATCATGGGATATGTCATGTGATATTAATGGACGAATTACGGTTCTTTAATCGGAAAAGGGGGGAAATCGGGAAAAAATCTGGAAATTTTGTATTTGGCTTTATTCTGTGTTGTGTGAAACAGTGTTCGTGAATTTTTGGATCCCATGGCCGTAACTAAAGTGAATTCGAAATGGGTATTTATGTATGTATTAATTTAATGTATGTGCTCATTTATATTTTAAGTAGTGTTTTTGAATTTAATTATATTTTAATTAAATGATAGTTATTTTTGTGAATTTTATGTTTGTAGGAATTTGGTATACGTTTTTAGTTGAAGTAAACGTGCATGGAAATAATTTAAATATCTGACACTAAGTATTTGTAATGGTTGCGGTATGAATTCGTTGGTGACGTGTATAATGTAATAGATGATTTAGAGGTAAAAGTTTTTGGATATTTTATTTATTTTATATGTGGAAATGTTCATTAAAGGCTTTTTTTGCGATCAGGTAATTTCATATATGTTCTTTTTACCGGGTTTAAAGATTGAGAAAATTGTCATGTATTTTCGTGAAATTTTTCTAATTTATGAGAAAAAAGCAGTGTACATGGATATAGTGAAGAGTGTGCGCAATGCCATTTTTGTGCAATTCTGGGATGTTTTTTTTAAGTAAAAATAAGTCGACGTGTACATGGTTTAGTGATATTTTAATTAAATGATAGTTATTTTGTGAATTTTATGTTTGTAGGAATTTGGTACACGTTTAAGTTGAAGTAAACGTGCATGGAAATAATTTAAATATTTGATACTAAGTATTTGTAATGCTTTGCGGTATGAATTCGTTGGTGACGTGTATAATGTAATAGATGATTTAGAGGTAAAAGTTTTTGGATATTTTATTTATTTTATATGTGGAAATGTTCATATTTGGAAAGGGTAAATACTTTTTTCGCGATCAGGTAATTTCATATATGTTCTTTTTACCGGGTTTAAAGATTGAGAAAATTGTCATGTATTTTCGTGAAATTTTTCTAATTTATGAGAAAAAAGCAGTGTA